GGGCTGCGCAGGCCTGTCTGGTAGAGGGTGTCACTCTGCTGCAGCCACCTCTTGTCCCCTGTGTCCCCACGGCTGTTCCATGATGTGCTCGGCCAAAGGCTGCTGCTGCTGCTCCTGCAGTTCAGTGCACAATAATCTGGGGACTCTGAGCTTTGATCCACTCCCACCATCCACTTGTGGGCACTGGGCAGGGCTGGGAGAGGTTCAGGAAGAAAACCCTCAGCTAGACTCTTTTCTACCTTGGCCAAAGCTGCAGTGCCACGTCATGCCCGGGGTGAGACCCTTGGGGGTCAGACTGACCACCCCCTTTGCCAGCTGGTGTTGGACAAACAGGATTGAAGGAGAAGAACCAGGCAGGGTCTCAGTGCAGGCAAAGCAGACCCACCTGGTGACCCAGCAGTGCCAGGAAGCTTGGGCAGAACAAGGAGCCCCTCAGAGTTGGGGACCTTTCCCAGCCTTACTGGGGATCATAGCTCTAAAAAAGGAACCTCCCCACTGCGGAATTACAGAGTCACAGCAGGGTTTGGGTTGGAAGGGACCTTAAAGATCATCTAGTTCCAATCCTCTGTCATGGGCAGGGACATCCTCCTCTAGAAGGTGTGGTTCAGCTCACACACTCTCTGTGCTTTTCACTCATGGCAGGAGGTGAAGGAGGAGATGAAGTGTCTTCTGAGCCACACTTTGTAGCCCCAACACAGCAGAGCAAGGGATCCCTCCCTCCTCCTCCTCCCCAGCTCTGAGCAGCAAACTGTGCCCTGCCTTGCTCCAGGAGCCTCAGCCCATCCCTGGCCCACGGAGATCCCCCACTGGGTGTGTTTGTTGGGCTTGGCTTCAGTCCCCCCCAGCCCCAGCCCTGAGCCTGCTGCAGGGCTCTGTGGTGTGGAGGTGAGGGGCCAGAGTGGGGAACAGGGCTGCTGGGGACAGTGAGGGGGACACAGCCAGGCCAGCGGGACCACCAGCTGCAGCACTCAGGGAGGGGCAGAGAGAAAGGGGGGAAATGAATAACAAGCTTTGGGCAGATTCCTTGTTTCTGTTTTCAATGTCTTCTTTGAAGGACTGAAAGAAGTGCCCGCAGCTCCCTCCTGAGGGGCAGCTCCGATCTCTGCTCTGGGGGAGCAGGGACAGCACCCAGGGAACGGCTGGAGCTGTGTCAGGGCAGGCTCAGGTTGGAGCTCAGGCAAAGGTTCTTCCCCCAGAGGCTGGTTGGGCACTGCCCAGGCTCCCCAGGGCAGTGGGCACAGCCCCAAGGCTGCCAGAGCTGCAGGAGGGTTTGGACAACGCTCTGAGGGACAGGGTGGGATTGTTGGGGTGTCTGTGCAGGGCCAGGGGTTGGATGGATGATCCTTGGGGGTCCCTTCCAGCTCAGAATATTCTGTGATCCTGTGATTTTAGGTGAAGGACAGGCAGGTATGGGGAGAGCTGGCACATGGGATGTTTGCTGTCCCCCCTCTCTGTCCCAGAGCTGAGCCCAGAGGGTCCCACACTGAACTGGGAGCTGCTCAAGAGACACAAGGTGGGGTTTGGGCGCTCTTGGGATGCAGGAGGGCCATCCCAAATTTTGGTACTCACAGTCCTCACCAACACCAGCATCTCCAACACCCAGCAGATGTTCATCACCCTCCTGAAGCGTTGAAGTCCCTGGTCTGAGCTGGGGTGGAGGTCTGGGAGCATCAAGTATTTAACTTGAAAGGGGCTGAAATGAAAAATAGGCTTTTTTCCCACCACCCATGAAATTCCTAATGCAAACTTCAACTGCAGTAGCAGAAAAGCCTCAATCCCTCCAAACCACAAGAGGAAAAAAGAAAATAGCAAATACAGGAACAGAGGCTGGGAAAAGCTGGGGCAGAAAACAAACCAAACATACAGAAAATGGAAATAAAACCCACCCAGCTTTGTTTGCTACCAAATACACTATTTTTCCAGGATTTTCATTTTCCCCAGAAGAAATCCTCTACCACTCCATGAGCAGCCCCAGCACCTCGACATGTTCATTCCTGGCACCCCCTTCCCCAAGCCACAGCCACAGCATTCCCACTCCACTGCTCCCTGCCAAAGAGAGACCCTGGAGCTGGGCTCACACCAGCTGTTGGACATCACCCTCTGGCTTGGCCCTGGAAGGACACCAAGAGGGACAGCAAATTCAGTGCTGGACAGGGGAGAGCCCTGTGATGCCAATCCCAAGCAGATCCGTCATCCCTGGGCAGGGAAGGGGGCACAGGCAACCTGCTCCCACTGACCCCCAGATGGAGGGAGCAGGTCCAGCACTGGCTGTGCTGGATGGGGAGGGCAGGGGTGGACATGCCTGTGGCTGTGCCCCGTGGGCTCTGTGTGTTCCCAGTCCCCAACTCAGGACCTGCTGCTCCTGCAGGTTGGATTTTGGGAAACATTTCTGTGCTGGAAGGGTGGTCAGGCAGTGGCACAGCTGCCCAGGGCAGGGGGGGAGTCACCCCCCTGGGAGGGTTCAAAGAGCAGATCTGGCACTTTGTGCTATGGTTTAGTGACATGATGGGATTCAGTTGAAGGTTGGACTTGGCAGCCTTGGAGGTCTTTTCCAACCTTAACGATGCTGTGGTTCTGTGGGACTGAGACCACTGGGATGGAGAGCAAAAGGGAAGTTGGAGTGGAGGCTCAGGGCTTTAGTACCATCCCCCAGGCCTTTCCAATCCCCTCAGATCCCAAGGACACCTCCAAGCCTGAAGTACCCACATGTGCCCTCCCTACTCCACTCCACATTCCCTCCCTCCCCACTGCCCTAAAATCTCCTGTTACACCTTTCCTGCCCATCCCCCTGTGTGCTCCCCAACAGCAGCAGGATGCCCAGGACTGGGACACACATGGCCCAGGCCCCACATCTCCTTTGTCCCCCAGGACATCCCTGTGGCTCCTCCCTGTGCCGTGTCCCAGCCACGGGTTGTAGGGATGTGATTTAAATACACACACTTTGTAATTTGCAGCAGAGCAGGAGTGCTTGGCACAGCTCCCCTGCCCACACTGCCCAGGGTCTCCTGGGCTCAGGCACTCGTGGGCTCAAGCCCAGCTGGGCTTTCCCACCACAGACCAAGGGAGGAAGTTTGTCCTGTGTCTGCTCCACCCTCAGCTGGAGGAGGTTCTGCCCAGAACCCCCTCCCCAAACCTGCTGCCTCTGCCCAGCTTGTGGGTGCCCAGAAGGGTTTGGTGCCTCATCCCACAGTTTTGTGCCCTGGGAGGAGAAGGGATGCCCCGGGAAAGTGGGGGATTAGGGGCAAACTTTCCCATTTATTCTTTTCGTGGGCAGGAGTGTGGGGAGGTCACTGTGCCAGGCTGGTGCCCAGTGGCTCTGCCAGGACCTCAGTGCTCCCCACTCTCACAGTAGGGCTGGCCATGATGGGAGCAGGGAAATGCCACTCTGGTCCCTCTCTGATGCCTTCCCTGCGCTTTGTACGCAGAAAACTGCCAACCCTGCCCAGCGATTTTGGACACGGGTTTATCAGTTCACCTTCTCCAGAGAGCCCCTCTCTCCCGGCCCAGAGCTGCTCCTCATCCTGGCTCCGCAGAGCCCCGTGTCAGCACACCCCAGATACAACGAGATGGGATCTCCATCCCATTTTCCTGCACTTCACTCTTTGCAGGGCACAGGAGTTGCCCATTTCCTTATGGACCACGATGGAGGTGGAGTCCCTCCATGGGAATGGGGGCACAGGAAGCTTAACAGCCTGCTGGGCCACCTGGAATTTAGGGCAGGTGTTCCCTACTTCCCTTTAGCCACTTTTCATCCCCCCCATTATCTGTTGGCTCCCTCCCCCTCGCCCCCCTCCACGGGCTGTGCCTGACCCAGCACTGCCACCTCCCTCCTGTCCCCACCATGAGGGTGCTTCTGCCAAAACACACGACACCCCTGCAGCCCCCAGGAGCTTTGTAGGTGTGTCCAGGGAGCATTTCCTGGCAGGAGGATGGGAAAAAGCACAGCCAAGAGGCTGGAGAGCCCAATCTGGGGTTGAAGAGACCCTTAGGGGTAGGAAGTCACTGGGGTGTGTCTCCTGATGGGATATGTCATGGAGCTGGGAGAAGGTAGAGTGCATTGGGGGGCAAGGGAAACCCTCCTCTTGTGTCTCAATCTTCTTCTCATCATCTCCCTTCCCCTGTTGCTTTTCCCTCAAGTATCCCTCTCCCTCATCCCCTTCCCTCTCCCTCATCCCTTTCCCTCTCCCTCATCCCCTTCCCTCTCCATCATCCCATTCCCTCTCCATCATCTCCTTCCTTTTACATCATCCATTTCCCTCTCCATCATCCCCTTCCCTCTAGATCATCCCCTTTCCTCTCCATCATCCCAGTCCCTCTCCATCATCTTCTTCCTTTCCTATCATTCCATTCCCTCTCTATCATCCCTTTCCCTATCCATCATTCTTTTCCCACTTCATCATCCCATATCCTCTCCATCGTCCCTTTCCCTATCCATCATGTCCTCCCCTCTCCATCATCTCATTCCCTCTCCATCATCATTTTCCCCATCCATCAGCCCATTCTCTCTTTATCATCCCATTCCCTCTCTATCATCCCATTCCCTCTCTATCATCCCATTCCCTCTCTATCATCCCTTTCCCTCTCCATCATCCCTTTCCCTCTCTCATCTCTCTGGCTGCCTCTTCCCTGCCCGGGCTCATCCCGCTCCCACCCCACACTCCTCCTCACGGGACGAAGGCTGGAGCGTGCACGGGAGCCTCCGTGTGTGCCAGGGACGTGGGAACAGTGGGAACAGTGGGAACAGCCTCAGAGAGCCGACGCTGGGGGAGTGAGGAAGAGGCAGAGTTTCAAAGCCTGCCCCCCTGTTTGCTCGCAAGGAGTTAAGTCTGTGATCTGTGGCGGGAGCTCTGATGAGAAGCTGGTTGACATGCAGAGCTGGAATAATGAAACGTAATACACATTAATAGGACCTCCCTCTGCGTGATTGCTTCTGCTCCACTGGCCCCATTGAAGATTTCACTTTTCTTTTAACAGTCAGAATAACAGAATGTGACATTAAGTCTTTTACATGCAGCAATTTATTTTAAAATATTGGGGCACTCAAAACAGTATCCAGAATGTTAAATAAGATATGCATGAGATGGAAATCAGAGCAGCACTGCAGTGAGGAGACAGGAGTCAGGCAGAGCCTTTCGCAGGCAAAGGCAGCTCCACTTTTTTTCTTAATTGCTGTTTAAAGCACAAAGAAATCACCAAGTTGGAGAGACCTCTGCAGTACACACCGGCTGACCTCTGAGCTCACAGGTCCACACGGGAAATCCAGAGCCAGCACAGAACCCCCTTCCCACACATCCCAAGGTCAAGTGGGTGACACAAGCAACCTTGTGTCTTCCAAGGCTGATGACACAGCACAAGAGGTCAAGAAGTGCTTGGACATGCACGTGGTGGGATCATAGAATCAGAGAATCATGGAATGCTTTGGACTGGAAGGGACCTTAAAGCCCTTCTCCTTCTACCCCCTGCCATGGGCAGGGACACCTCCCACTAGCCCAGGTTGCTCCAAGCCCCGTCCAACCTGGCCTTGGGCACTTCCAGGGATGGGGCAGCCACAGTTTCTCTGGGCAACCTGGGCCAGGGCATCCCCACCCTCCCAGGGAACAATTTCTTCCCAATATCTAATCTAAACCTACTCTCTGTCATTCCCCCTTGTCCTGTCACTCCAGGCCCTTGTAAATAGTCTCTCTCCATCTTTCTTGTAGCTCCCTTTAAGCACCAAAAGGCTGCAAGTAGGTCACCCCAAACCCTTCTCTTCTCTAGGCTGAACAGTCCCAGCTCTCCCACCCTTTCCTCCCAGCAGAGCTGCTCCAGCCCTCTGATCACCTTGGTGCCTCCTCTGGACTCTCTCCAGCAGCTCCACATCCTTCTGCTGTTGTTGCCAGGGCTGGAGCAGCTCTGCAGGGGGGTCTCCCCTGAGGGGGCAGAGGGGCAGAATCCCCCCCTGCCCTGCTGCCCACACTGGGGGATCAGCCCAGGGCACGGGAGGTTTCTGGGCCAGGGAATGTCCAACCTCTCATCCACCAGCAGCCCCAGGTCCTTCTCAGGGCTGCTCTCCATCAGTTCATCCCCCTGAATTCTTGAGGGAATTCTTGGGGTTGTCCTGTGCAAGGACAGGAGTTGGACTTCAAAGACCCCTGTGTGCCCCTTCTGGAATTCCATGATTCTGTGACCTCAGGAGGTACCTGTGAGGTGGCAGGCTCACACACCAGCTCTGGTGCCCAGAGAGCCCCTGGAGGGTCCAGTGCTGCCAGGAGCTGGCATTCCAGTTGGGATTGCCATGGGAGAGGATGGATCCCTTTGGAATTGTAAAACACATGCCCTTTGCTCCACCTTGGGAAGGCAGTGGCTGCTGGAGCACAGCCAAGCTCCCCCCAGCAGGGTGAGGATGCCAAGGGGGTTCAGTGTCAGGGAGGTGCCAGAGCTTTCCCTACGTTAGGGCCCCCCTGCTCCCACCCCAAGGGTGAAGCTGGCCCAGTGCACCCCTGGAGCACAGTGACACGCTCAGGAATGGTGGCCCAGGCAGAAAGCTTTGGGGTGCCCAGGGTTTGTGCAGGATTTCCTCCCCTGCTGGGTCACACCCAGACCCTGGAGCCCTTTGCACTGCTCAGCCCCATCCCTGAGCACTCCCAGGGCTGTCCCACACCACTGCTCTGACCCTCTGGCAGGAATGAGGCCAAGAGCCATGGGATACACTCTGAGACACATGGGGAAGGCATTTCTAGGTGTGCCATGACATGTGTGGGGCCAAGGGGTTTCTGTGGGGGTGATGTCCTGCTGAGAGGGGGTGGGTTCTCAGGTGGAGCCTGGGGATGACCATTATCCCCACAATGGGCCAGGTGGAAGAGGGAGTGACACTGAGGTGTCACAGTTCTGTTCTGCCCTTACACAAGACCCACGGCCTTCATAATCCCTGTCTTTGTAGCTCTCAACATCCCTCATTTACATATAAAGTGGCTGCTCCCCCCCCATTTATGACAGCAGTAACAGAATGTTTGACTACAGTCTCACCTCTGCTTCTCCCAAAAGTATAAACTGGCATTTGAAATCCTCCTTGGCAGAGGAGGAAAACACAACCACCTTACATTCAAGTGCCTGGGCTTGCACCTCTCTCCTCCTCCGAGCGTCTCTTTGGTAAGATTTGTGCCTCTGACTGTGTCAGAGGATCCCTGGGAACACTTGCACATGGTGCTACACATTTATATTTTGGAGGTGTAGTGACTGTATCACCAGCAATCTAAAAGAATCTGTAGTCTGTTGCTCCAATAAACTGCATTATTTGTGAATCTGTTGTGAAAGTTCTTATTGAACTCCACCAGACTCACAGTATTGAATTAGTGACCTCAGTTTTGGTGAATCTGTGACTGTGAGTGAGACCAGACTGAGACTGTGACCCACACTCACTGTTGGGGCACCTGGGAACACCACCAGGCTCAACGTGCTGGATTGGTTCCAATCAGAAATGAAGCCCAGCCACACCCAGCCCCTCTGATCCCTGAGGATCGCCCACCAAGGGGGTTTATTTTCTGCCAAATTTCTATCCTGGTAGTGCAACACCTCTCCAAGGAGTTTCTCCTGCTTCTCCATGCAGGGGACACTTCATAGAATCATAGGATCAGCTGGGTTGGAAGGGACCTCCGAGATCATAAAGTCCAACCCTTGATCCACTACCACTGCAGTTGCTAGACCATGGCACTGATGCCACATCCAGTCCTATCTTAAAAACCTCCAGGGACGGAGAATCCACTGCTTCCCTGGGCAGCCCATTCCAATGGCCGAGCCCATTCCAGTTCTGTTCCTGTGCCCGCTGTCCATCATCCCAGGGGCCATGCTGGGCTGGGCCTGTCACTGAGGTGTCACCTCACCCCGACAGACAGGAGCTGGGATGGGGACAGTGACTCCTGTCCAGCCCTTGCTCTCAGTCAGCCCTTCCTTCCCCTCCCTGCAGTGCCCAGCTGGGCTGGGCTGAGCCCCTCACCGAGGATTCAGCTGCTGCCCTGCCCTGCCTGCTCTTGGAGCCCATTGATTTGCCCCACAGCACCTTCCAGAGCATCTCCAGATCCCAGAGGCAGGAGCTGGGGACAGCAGCTCCCAGCAGCCCCCCCAGCAGCCCCCATTCCCAGTGGGGGTACGAAGGCCATGGGAAGGCAGAGTCCCAAGGCCCTGGCACATCCTTTAAAGGACACATCCTTCAAAAGCCCTGTTGGCTTCTGACCCTTCAGCCACATTTTCAGGGTTTTCCCTGGGAGTTTTGAGGATCACATAAAACATTCTCCCACCCCCTGCCTCCAGCAGCTGAGGCCAGAGAGGGCCAGGGTGGGGCTGGTGAGGCTGCAGAGCCCTCTGTCCCCCTCCCCTCCCCACTGCCCCTGGCCCAGACATTCCTTCCTGGGCACAGGAACCCCTTGGACTGACACTCTGCTGCCCATCCTCACTCAGCCTGGGCAGAACAGCTTTGCCTTAGGCAGCTGAGTGCAGAGACATCAGCCACTGTCCCGGCCAGACATTCACTAAATACACACCTGGGGGGACAGAAATCCCAGGAATGTGATAGGGCGACTGCATCCAGGAACAGGGAGGGAGAGGGAGCACAGGACCTGGGAGATGTCAGCTCTGGGAAGAGGAGGGCTGGGATGAGATCAGACCCTCTGAGAGCCAGGACTCAACACTCCCAGTGCACTGGGATGTCCATCAGAACCTCCAAGGGCCAGGACTCAGTGCTCCCAGCAAGATGCCCAAGGGCCATAGAGGTGGCTGGATCCAGCTGCTCCTCCTCCCCTTGAGAAGGTCCCCACTCCCCCAGCACACCCCCCACTGCTGGCAGGGAGGGCTGTGGGGGGCTGCTCAAGTGCCCTGTGAACTGGGGGGGTTCCTTCCCCCTGCTGTGGGAGAGCTGAGGCTGGAGGATCCCTCCCAGGGGGAAGGTGGGTGATGGATGCCCCCACAGAGGAAGAGCTGGGTTCCTGCAGGTCCCAGTGCCATGGGAAAGGCTCTGGGCAGCTTCTCCAAAACACAGCACAGCCCAAAGTGACTCCGTGTCCCTGGGAGGGAGGGCAGAACCAGGAACTCAGGGATCTCTGCTTTTTCAAGCTGCACAGATGCAGTAAAATCATTTTATAACAGCTTTGAAGGACAATGGCTTTAAGCTGAAGGAGAGTACGTTTAGATGGGATATTGGGAAAAAATCCTTCCCTGTGAGGGTGGTGAGGCCCTGGCACAGGTTGCCCAGAGAAGCTGTGGCTGCCCCTGGAATCCCTGGAAGTGTCCAAGGCCAGGTTGGACGGGGCTTGGAGCAACCTGGGCTAGTGGAAGGTGTCCCTGCCCATGGCAGGGGGTGGAATAACCCAAACCATTCCATGATTCTATGACCCATGATTTCCACCTCAGTTCTGCACATCCTCTGATCCCCCCTCCATAGGATGCCCCCAGATTTTTGCAAGGATTTCAAGGGAAATCTTGTGCCCTGTTACACCAGACAACCAATTTCCCCAATGCAACTGCAGCGAAATGACTCCATCCCTAAAGCCACCAGGACTGTGCCTGTCAGCAGCTGGCACTGCCCTGGTGACAGGGGCTGGTGTTGCTGTGGTTGAGTGGCAGGTCCCCACTGAGCTGCTCCATCTGCCCAGCACAGGGAATTTGGGATGGCAGTGCCTGCTCCCAGGGTGGTGATGGCTCCTTGGCTTCACTTCCAACACGGAAATGTTTCTGTGGGGAAAAGTGCCTGCTGATTTCTGGTTTAAACCAGGGACAAGATCACAGTGACACTGCCCAGTCCCTGCCCTCAGGGACCCAACCCCCTCCTGTGCATGCCGAGCTCTGCCAGGCTGGAATTTCCCCAGGAATCTTTTCCTGCCAAACCCTGATGTTTTGCATTAGTCCTCACTTGGACTGAGCTGTGCCTCAAAGCCAGGGCACTCTTCCAGCGAGGGGACTGGTGGTCTGCAGCTGCCTCCTGTCACCATGAGAGCTTGGGGGTCCCCGTGGTGCCACCTCAGTGTGGCAGGACCATGTGAGGAGCCAGCTGTGAACCCTCTGCTGCTCCTGCAGCACAGACCCAGCACCCATTTGCTCCTGACCTTTGCAGTCCCTTGGGCACTGTCCAGATCTAGCCTTTCGAGACACAGTGGCATCACCAACATGACACACTCTGGGGCATTTAGGGGGCTCCTGAGGGGAACCACAGGCACCCCAAACCCTGTGTTAGGGTCTGACTCTGCCCTGCTCCCACCCCAGTACTTTGCACTGACACAACCAGAGCAGGGCCAGCAGTTGGACTTCCATGTGAGTCCCTTCTAGCTCAGGATATTCTGTGGTTCTATGACCATGGGAGGGATTGACCCCCCACCTCTCTACCTGCTCCTGCCTCCCCTGTGCCAGACAGAGCAGCAGGACAGGCTGCAGGGCTCTGGCCGTGGCAGACCCATTTAAGCACATTTGTTTTGTGCCAACGTGCATCCTCCCTGCCACGCTGTGCCCATGGCCCTGCTTTTGGGGCACAGGCCTGGTGGGCACAACTCATCCTGCTGTGGTGTGTGCAGGGGGCTCACAGCACCCCAAGGGCTTTGTGCCGCTGCAGAGAGGCAATGACAACGTGACAGCCACCACTCTCAGGGCCTCAGGGTGGCTCCAAGCAGGACTCCTGGCATGTGGAAGGGAGAACCGAGATGTCTTTGACCCAAGAGCTGAAAAAAGTTCCTGATACACCCCTGTCCTGCTGCCTTGCCCCGGGAGCAGACACCACAGGGGCCCTCAGCGCTCCTCAAACCACACCCCAAAGTGCCTTTCTCCCCAGACTCCTCCACCAAGCCCTGAGGCTGCAGGTCAGAGCCTCAGAGGGGCGGAGGATGGAGCGGGTGCAGCATCC